CGAAGTTGACCGCCAGCGACGGCCGCCTGGCGATGCAGCTCTTCACCGACTACCCTGGCCTGCAGGTCTGCAGCGGCAACTTCGTCCACCACGCCCGCGGCCGCGATGGCCAGCCCTTCCCACGCCACGCCGGCATCGCGCTGGAGCCGCAGTTCTTCCCGGACGCGCCCAACCAGGCAGCCTGGGCGGAGCAAGGCTGCATCGTGCGACCGGGGCAGCCGTTGGCGCGCTGGATGCGGGTGAGGTTTGGGGTGCCGGCTTAGTAGTACGTCACCGTCACGCTGATCGTGTCCGCATACACACCCGGGACGGTCGTGAGCTGACGGGCCGGAATGCGCCCATACACCACAAAGTTCTGCGCGGGCGCCAGGCCCAGCACGTCCAGGGTCACGCCCGAACTGATGACTTGCGTCGCGCTGCTGCCGTCACCCCACACGCTCGTGTAGGCGGCATCGGTGTAGAGGTTGTAGCTCAGGCTGTTGCCGCCGCTCTTCATGCGCCGGGTGTAGCTGCCGCCATTGCCGGTGCTGAGCGCGATGTTGAACGGGATCAGCAGACCCGCCACACCGCCGCAGGTGACCTTGAGGGAGCCGGTCGTGTCGGTGTTGCCGAGTGCCAGGGGGTTGTAGGTCCCGAAGGCGACGTTGGTGGTGGCCAGCGTGCACGAACACACCGCCGGCAGGCACAGCGCACGGGCCGCTTCGGCGGCGAACAGGAGGCCCAGCAGCAGGAGCAGTCGACGACTCATGGCATCAACGGCACAACAGTGAACCGAGGTCCGGCAGATCATCGCTGCGCAGGCGCGGCAAGGTGAACTCGAACCGGCATTGGCGCTCCGCCCCGCGATCATCCTGCCAGCGGGCCTGCACCTCGTTGCGGCCATCCGCCAGGCCGGCCAGGTAGGTGCGACCCGCGAGGCCGACGGGGAAGGCCCGGGACTCCGGCCCCGACTTCAGCACCGCGCCCGGCGGCAGCGGCTCACCGGTCGCATCGAAAACGCGCAGGCTCGCAGCGCGTCCCTGCTGCACCGGGAAAACGATGCGGGCGGCACTGCGGGCCGCAGGGACCAGCTTGATCTCGAGTGCCTGCAGTTCCGCATCCATCGGCAGGTCGGCGGCTTCAATCCCCAGGCGATTGGGCTGATAACCGCGAAGCCCGGTCACGAAGGCCCGTCCGCGGGCATCCGTTCTGGCGACCTCCTGGTTGTCCTGCGTCACCCGCACGCCCTCGTGCCCGCCCACATCCACCACGGCAATCCCGCCGTCGATGCGACGGCTCACGAAGGTGCTGCCGTCCACCCAGGCGATGCCGCCGGAGGCGCCGGCGCGCGACTCCACCTGGCTGCCGCGGCGCGCGACACCGCCGCTGAGCACCGTGTGCTCGCC